AACATTCTAGTATATAGTGTTTCTTATTCATTGCTACTTAATCACTGAGACTTTTATTAATTGCTAAAGGCAGGATCACTATTAATTACAAAAGACAAGTCTTATATCGTATCCGGCCCGAGCGGTTGTGCACCAATCTGATTTGGATTAATGATACTGTATGGTTTCTTAACGTGTAACGTCAACCAATAGGAGAATATTACACAACCCAAATCAGTGTAAAGTCGCTTAAATCGAAAACACTATTAGATATCTCGCATTATTTAGGTGTTTTTTAATTTTATTAATTCTACATTGTCTCGATTTGGTTCACTACTATAATTTCAATGATCATTATAAAACATAATTATAATTTTAACATTATTTTATGCATTATTATTACGCACTTTACAAATAAAATTTGGAGAAATATAATAAAAAATAATAATTAGATCTTGTAACAAGTATGAAATATTTTTGTGACAAAAGTAATACTACGAAAGATAATTTTTAATCGCTATGTTTCGCGACTTATTACTAACTTTCACTCAGATCACTTCTTCATATAAACGACAGTGGTAAAAAATTTCAAAACTCGATGTATAGATAAGAATATATCTATTTGATTAATTGTGTACGTAAGACAGTGTGTACTTTTCGTATCACTACATATGGTCACATATATAAATAACAAATACAATGAAATATAATTAAATTCTCAGTGGCGAAGTGTCAATATATAATGAATTCTTTACATATTGACACTTCATCGCTGAGGGTTTATTTAAATTTCATTGTATTTGTTATTTCTTTTATTTGTCATTTTAATATTGTATTTTTTCGTTTTAACTCTGTTCTTTACGCTGTTCAGAATTTTTTAATACAGTATTTTCTCATGTTGGTAAAAATAAGAAAATGCAGATCTAAAAAGTTGATAAAAAAATTCTGAAAAAATTCTCAGAACTTTATGACAAGAAAATAAGTAATTTTTGTCCCTTGCAGTTTTTCTGTAAAGTTGATAGTATTTGAGTAAAAAATTATTCAAAACCAATATTTTGCAATTTTTAGTAATTAATATCTTATTAACTATTGCGAAAATTGAAAATGGTAGAGAACTTTTCGACTCAGTTTAGTCTACTCTATCCACACAAAAGTGATTGGCAAAAAAGGTCGGGATACCCTGTTTATGTGTTGCATGTACGTTGCCAGCACCGCACAGCGTCCTTTGGACATTAAGTAGCCATGCTAAAAGCCATGCTAACATGGGTCGTGGGGACTGCGTAATACTAATGACCGCAGCACAGACTTTTGCATAACGCATAGTGCATAAGCGAATCAACTGATCAGAAGCTTTCCTCTCATTCCATAGAAAAGAAGAATTTCGATTGATTGATTCCCACTATGCATTATGCGTTATGCAAGAGTCTATGCTGCGGCCATAAGCGTTTATTGAACTAGGTCACAAATGGCGGTCGAAATTACCAATAGGAAGGTTATCGGCATTACGGCTCCAATAAAAGGAATGCATTATATTGATATATCTAGAGCCTTATGTCTGAGAACGCGGCAGCGGCTCAGTCTGCTAAGGGTGCTTTCCAATTGCAATATCATAGACACTTTCGTGTACACGGCGACACAAGATGCGTTCCAATTGTCCGTTATTGTCGACACAATACTACACATCCGTACTCAGTCGAAGGCTGTGTAAGCTTGTGTTTTCTAGTAACAATTATATATTACTAACTGCGGCGATTATAAATAAGGTTGGAAGACGTTGAGTGGTAGCCACATTTTTTTGTTTAATACAGGCGGAAAAAATTATATTTAATCTAACGTCATCCGAAACGGATTTCAACCGTGCACAGCGTACATATTCTGTTCCAATTGAATCGTGCACACAATTGAAACGTTACACTTTGTGCATCACTGTATACGTTTGTGTTAAGATGTGTTAAGCAATTGGGGAGCATCCTGTAACACATCTCGTTGCGAACACATCTATGATAGATGTTTTTGTTTTACAATCGTGCATGATTATCTGAGATATTTGAATTCTGTTACGGTAGTAAGTGCAGTTCTTACTTATCCAGATAGCACTGGATATCCCAAGAACGTCCACTTTAAATCCAAATTACATTAGCACGTTCATGAACGTGGGAAAATAGGATGCATTCCGTTTCACGCATGATGTACATGACGCATCATATAGCCTTGTTTAATATTCAGTGAATTTTTCCATCAACGGAAATTGCGTCCGATAAATAATTTTTGCGCTTTTTTGTCGACTTCAACCAGATGCGCATGTTGCATCATTTAATCTTGTTTAATTCAGTGAATAACAAGGATAAATAGTGCAATATGCGCGTGATCATATATGAAATGGATGCACCTATGGACATTCATACGTCCGTCCAGGTAAAAATGGTTTTATGTATGAATATGTATAAATATGTATAGATAATTCTTTAATGATACAGTGAAACAACTCAGCATGAAGTAAATGCGAGGTTGCTCATGTGATTAACTTTCTTGATTTTGCATTTTACTTTTTCGGTCCGATAAGTATAAAAAATTAATCATGATTAAGAATGAATTTTACTTACTTTTTAAACCCCACAGTATCCGTTGATCAACAGCGTCTAGGAAATCTCGTAATTCCGTTGCACATGTTGCCGAACCGAGAACACTAGCTCTGGAGGCGATGGCATAGGCGGGTAATAAATGAATAACATTGTTCTCGTTAGAACTATGAAATTGTGCAGAAACGCAGAATAACGTGACGAAGTGGCAGATATACGAAATAAACGCGATATAATGCATGTTTTTTAATCCAAAAATTACAATCACTTTTATTTATCCGTTAATGCAAACTGTGGTCGATGTCGACCATGAAGTTATCAATTTCAGAAATACAATAGAGATAGAGTGAAGTGTAAAGAATTTTTTTGCTCATGTAAAGAATTTCCTTAATACACAGGTCTAGAATTATTTTCTTCGTCGAGATAAAGAAAACACGTTTATCCCGTTGAACCGTAAACTAAAAATGCGTTGTTTATTAATTTCGTCCGTGCAAACGTTAGTGTAATGTTTTAGAGTTTTATTAGAAAATATTTACTATTTGATTTGTATAATGCAGATTAATATTCGTCATCGAAATTTGACGACCAGGACAAGACTGGTTTATATAGGGAGAAGTCAATGGATTTGTAGTGGAAAAACCGTAATGTCCTCCGCCCTCCCCGCGACACCTTTTTCAACCTCGTCGCGGAGCCCCACTACGTTACGTGCGCTGCATTTGAATACGTCGACATCTTGAACATAGCAATCTATGTAACAAAAAACATTTTTTAATGAAAAACTAATAAAATATTTTATAAATTTTTGTACAATAGTTCTGTGATTATGATACGCTTTACTGGTAATGCAGAATAAGATTAGATCGCAAGTCCGGCGGGGAATGAGACAAGAGAAATTGAATTTGATTCTAGTATAGTGTAAAATTCAATAATATTATATAAAGTATGTAATACTTATTTGTATTAATAATACAAATAATATCTGACTTAATCTAACATAAATAATATTTAATTCATATTTAAAAATATATAATTATAAATATTTGTAATTATAAAACAAATATTTATTACATAGACATTTCAAAACAAAAATAATTTTTTCATAATTATAAATATTTATAATTACGACTTTACTGATGTGTAAGTTACGAAAGCACCCTGTACTAACGTTTTTAAAATTGATCAAATAAAATTTTTGCAATAATTTGAAATAATTTATACGAATCACGCAAATTATAACAAACTTTTTTTTAAAGTTAGTTTTAGTTAGGTTTTGTTTCTAACTCTTTATTCTTGGTTAAGTTCTTGTAATTCTAATTTGCATATCAGTTATAAACGTTTAAATTGCGGATTGAAGTGTAATTTAGTATAACCTAATCTTAGTTTTACATATTAATTGTTTTAATTGTATATTTTATGTATTTCGAATGCGATCGGTTTATACTGGAATCAAATTAGGTTTTTATCTCGGAACCGGTTCAACCAACTCGGATTTTAATGATTTTTTTTTAAATATCACAAATTAAAAATACTAAAACTTTTATAGGTTAAAAATTGACGGTTTTTATTAATTCATTAATTTTTTTACATTATATGTTATTGTTTTAATTATACGAAATAAAACGTACTCAATCTACGATTTTAGGTTCAAAATCAAATCTAAAACACTATATAATTCCTTCCAGATACTTTCTCTTCAGTATATCATATGCTTGAAATCCCTTTATATAGTGTTTTAGATTTGATTTTGAACCTAAAATCGTAGATTGACTACGTTTTAATTCGTATAATTAAAACAATAACATATAATGTAAAAAAATTAATGAATAAATAAAAACCGTCAATTTTTAATGTATAAAAGTTTTAGTATTTTTAATTTTTGACATTTAAAAACAAATCATTAAAATCCGAGTTGGTTGAACCGGTTCCGAGATAAAAACCTAATTTGACTCCAGTATAAACCGATAGCATTCGAAATACATAAAATATACAATTAAAACAATCTATATGTAAAACTAAGATTAGGTTATACTAAATTACAGTTCAATCCGCAATTTAAACGTTTATAACTGATATGCAAATTAGAATTACAAGAACTTAACCGAGAATAAATAGAGACAAAACTTAACTGAAGCTAACTTAAAAAAAAGTTTGTTATAATGTGCGTGATTCGCATAAATTATTTCAAATTTTTGTAAAAATTTTATTTTTAATGTAGATAGAGACAGAGAATGAACAGATGTTTTGATAGGGTTTCGCTGACACACGGTTGGGTTCCGCAGGTAGACGCACACGAGTGATATGAGTTCAGTTTCACCTTTAGCAGATGATGATTCCATTTAACTGATTTAACTGATGATTCCATATTTTCTTTCAGCAGGACATTTCCCTTACGCAAAATCTTCGCAAATTTATTTACAGGATATGCAAGAATTAAAACAAAAAATGGATCCCGAGGAATATAACAAATTTACAAAAGAAATGTGTTTCACAGCTAGACGTACAGATAACTTTTTTGCTGGTATACACACCGATCAAACTATCGAGCAAACTTTAATGAAGTCAATGAGTGTCGAAGGCGGACCTTTTCGACGTGGAGCTACAGACAGTGTCGTCTATCAATGGATTAATGGAGTTGTTTGCACAAGCGACATTATTGAAGGAATGGAAACTTTCTGCAATATTTCATTCAAAAAAAGCCACCAACATGCAGATTTTACAGATGCGAGAATCACAAGAGGTGATGCTGAAATTAAAAAATTGAAAGAATGGCTTCAGTCTCACGATCCTTTCTCCGAGCTGGATGTAATTACGAATATTGCAACAGGTGTTATTGACCACGAAAAGACGATCAATTGCTACAATGCCTTTGATCAAGGTATTGAGACTGTAAAGAAAATAAACGGTCAAAACTTCAGAGATTTGAAATTGAAAACATCACAAAAAGTTGTACCTTTGCTTGCTGCAAACAGTAAACTAAAAATAAATAACGAACACGTTCCAATTGATCCTCTCTTATTGTTTCAACGTATTACCGTATTGAAGAAATCTGATACCGATTTACAAAACTATATGAAGAACGAATTAGCTCCTTACCTGTTATCGTTGTACGACGACGCAGGAATGTGAAAAACCCAGAAATCTACATTCTACAGTATCTTCAAAGCATTTCCAACAAGTATCAGCGATACCAACAATTTTTATGTAATTGATGGTTGGATGCTTTCACACCGTGTTAAATGGCAATTGAATCAAACGTTTCACTCAATATTAGATAGTTATGTCAGGTATATTATCAGAAATTACGGTAATAACGTAACAATCGTATTTGATGGATATGAAAGAGATACCATTAAAGCAGCAGAAAGAAACCGCCGATCTGTAAAAAATACATCACTTGATTATGCTTTCGAAGAAGACATGCAGCTGAAAGTGGCTCAAGATAAGTTTCTTTCCAACGTCAACAATAAAGCTAGATTTATAACTAAATTAAGGCGATATTTAACAGAAAATGGTATTTTTTCAAAACAAGTAGACGACGATGCCGATCGACTAATTGTGACCACAGCAGTTGATTCGTCTTTTTCCAATGTCGTTATAGTGGCTGAGGACATTGATGTTCTTGTCCTATTAATAGCTTTAACACCAGATGGAAAGGAAATATATTTTCTAAAACCTCGTAGAAGAAAAGTGCCACAGAAAGTATATTCATCGGCCAGTCTAGATAAATTACCAAACTGCAAACGACATGTGCTTTTTTTACACGCTTTTACAGGCTGCGATACGACGTCGGCATTTTTCAACAAAGGAAAAAATATGTTTGCAACTATGTTTGAATCTCAAACATATTTACAAGAGGCTGCTGAAGTTTTCAAACAAGAGAAGCAAATGTAGAAAACATTCTTAAAGCTGGTGTAATATGTATTCTTGTTTTATATGAAGCTCATCAATCTGAATCTGATTTAAATCAGTACAGATACAAATGTTTTAAGGCCGCCATTTCAAACGACAGTCAGGTACAACTATCAAATTTACCATGCACTATAGATGCAGCTACAGAACACGTGAAGAAAGTATACCTCCAAGTACAGTTATGGCTTGGAAATTATTTATCGCGAACGGAATGGGGATCGATGCCTGGTAAATATTTAATGCCAAACCCAATGAACCAAGAACCTGCTCCTGAAGATTTATTAAAAATCATCTTTTGCAAGTGCAAATCAGGATGTGGTCTATCGTTGTTGAAGAAAATGAGTTGGAAAATGAGGAAATTGTTTGAAAATATTTTTACATAATATATACTTAGAAATAAAATAATATTACTTTCCTTCTACACTTCTTCTGAATAATTATTTGTAGTTTACAAACGATAGAATACATGGTAGCGCGTTAAAAATCGATTTATCGTTCAATTATAGTTTTTTCAATTTTTAAAAATTTCCTGTAAAAAGCGGCGATTTTTAACCTATAAAGGTTTTAGTATTTTTAATTTGTGACATTAAAAAAAGAACATTAAAATCAAAGTTGGTTGAACCGGTTCCAAGATAACGCTCGTTTTCCGTCTGATTTGACTGTACTATTCTAAGGATATACAAAGTTTTAAGTCTTGTGCATATTAGCAAATTGTTATAAAATTATAGCGGCATTAGTATGACTATAAATAAAAAATCTTTCGGGTTTATTAAGTTACAATGTGTTCTTTTAACAGATTTATATGTTCTGATAATATCTACAACTTTTTCTTCATGAAAATGACTGCTAAATTATATGACGCTTTGCCTACCATCTTTGGCGACTAATATAAGAGAGATGGTCTGAAGGAAAGCAGAGTAAATTTAATGCTTAATTCGCTCAACCGTTAATATGTTCAAAATTAGTTTTTATTAATGTTGTACATTGAGAATGGCACAAACATTGTCGAAACATATGTATGCCTTTTAAATATTAAATTTATTGTTTTTAGCTCTTAGCCCTTCTTTTAATTGTACTGTTCTTATTATAGATCTTGTTCCTTCCAAATAGTTCATGCAAATTATCTAGTTTGTTCCTTAGCTCTATCACAGTCGAATATGATTTCACACATATGTATAGAGGGACAAACGTCTAAAATTCAATTTTATTTTATTCAATTTTAATTACAATTATTACAATATTACAATATTTCCATTGCAATCATGTACGTGTAATTATAATTTCGTGTTCCTTTTTCTGATATGAGATTGGCAGAATATTCGCATTAATAGGATATACGGTGACTCTGCCATTAAAGACAATGCATATGCACAGAAATAACTAATCACCAAGTATCCTAGGAGCGTAGCGCTCTAAAAATGAAAATTGTGACAATAAGTGTATTTATTTTATCGAGGTTGAAGTTTTGATTGTTCGTGTACTTACTACGGACAGCAATTCAAAATGAGCAGATGTTTCACTATGCAAACGAATCGAATGTATGATAACCGGATTTATAAGGTAAGCGCAGTAAGAAAGTCTGCTAAGAGGAATCCAGATTTTCCATGATAAAATCTCTTTAACAATGCCTGTAATAAAGCGTTTGATAAGAATAAAATTTTTTTTTCGAAATTATAACATTGTTCTGTCATTGCCTATTACAAAATGCTTATTAAGCCTTGTATCTATCGACGCTAAAAATTCAAGATTTCGGAATTTAAATTGTCGTCTGATGAATTAGTTATCTCAAACGTAATGCATCATTGTTTCGCATTACGTTTGAGATAACTAATTTATCAGACGATAATTTAAAAAGAATGTACCACTAAGGAAAATTGTGAATTTACTGCAATTATGTGGACTAAAAAACTTGTAGATTGTACATAAAGATTACTGCAAAAATCGGCATCGATTTACTGAGGCAAGTTCATACGGCAATGGATTTTTGTCAGATGTTATTCCAAATGATTGCAGTGGAAAATAAGTTCTATTACCATTTGCAATTTATGCTATATATCTAATGTCAATTTTTAATTTTATATAATGATGCATTCTCGTTTAATATTTTTTTAATTTGTCCATTGAAAGAGAACACGAATTTACAAATACTTTTAATATTAACAACATCATAAACATTTTATACTTAAAATTATCTAATATATGTAACCGATTTATATTGCGACCGGAGGTGTTACGAGGCATTAAGCAGGTACGCTACAGCGTAGAGCATAAAATTTGGAGGGACATAAAATTTTAATAGCCAGCGCTACTCCTGTAAATATATAGCTCTAGTAGCTTACTTGATATTTTAAATCAATTAGCTAAAAGTGATTTTCTGGAAACCTTTTCAAATTTAACAATAGCGTTACAGATCTTATTAATTGCTCTAATGTCTGTGGCAACTGTGCACACAGAGAAAAAGATTTCTTTGGATGTAATAAATTTTATCGTATCCAAATAAATTTGTTATTTGGAATGGTCCAAACAAACCAATGTTTGAATCAATAAGACAGATTATTTGAATTTGAAACAATGTATATCTTTGTCTTAAATACATTATTTGTTTGAACAGATAATATCTATCTTCAGTATTCGCGTGATCAACTGTACGGCACAAACATAATTGATGTAGCACATAGCACTGCCCGTTTAATTCTGTTGTCAGACGTAAAAGCCATTGTTCCCATATTTTCGGTCAAAAAATGTAGTGACTATTCTAAGAAAGCAATTATTTGAATGGAATAACCTATAACCTCTATGAATATATATTTTGCCATTTTCAAATAAACAATTTGTTTCATTGTTTGTATTTATTGTAACCAAATAATATATTATTAAATTGTAAGATATTACTTCAAATAATAATGTTATTTCTGTCAAGCAATAGAGATTTCTCATATAAAACTACAAAATTTTTATTCGAACTAATAATATTACGTAGGTACCAGCATATGTTGTTTCAATAAAACAAATTTTAGTCAAATAAATAGGAATACTAAATCCAAAGAAACCTTTTTCCCTGTGCTGAGGCATCTTTATCAAAATTATAAATAATAAAGTTATCTGAGAAATACAATGACGCAGACATGGTCATGATGTGATTTAACTATAATATCAATTAAAAAAGAATTGGCGAACAGTTTTGATTACATAATCAGTCTTGATTACGTAATAATTGAAGTTACGTAAACGTATACTTGATGACGTAATCAAAATATTTTCAAAAATCAAGCTACAAAATTTAATAGTATAATAGTATAAAATATAGTATGTTGCAAAATATATAAGCGTCAAAATATTGTTATAAAAGAAAATATGTGATTTATTGTATTCGTATTCCTGTGTTATGCAAATTGGTAGAAATTCCTTCTTTTTTTTTTAGTTGTTGGTTAATTATCGTTGGCGGTGAATTTGCTCTTCAGAGACTTAGAAATCCTTGTGATGGGAAGTAAAATTAAATTCCAGCGTAGGATGCCACACACACACAAAGGCGATCGTAACGTCTCCGATTGCGACTCTTTTAAATTAATTTTTATTGTTACTATTAATTAGCTTAATTATTCTGTTTTACACAAAGAATCTGATGAATGTTGAAACGTTTGTATGATTTAATGTTTATATGAACTAATAGATATTAAATGTAGATTAATCATTAGCACTTAACAACGAGTTTTGCCTCGTAGCCTTTCTTTTCTAGCAATATTTATTTTTACAAAGTTGTTGAGTCAGAATATTTTTATTATTTCTTATCTGTTTAATACTATTATTAAATCAACTAACCTCCGTGCTCAGTACAACACATTATTACAATCCATGCTATGCCAATGGCCCAAACAGTTCTACTTAATGCAACATAGATAGCAGTAGACAGAACGGATATTTGTCGTTTGTAAAGGCCAAATAACACCAAAATGTTGCAAGCAGCACCAAGAGTCCAACATAAAATTACAATATTCTGAAATTTATACATTTTGCTTAAAATATTGTATATCAAAACAGGTCAACCGATATAGATCTCAACAATTTTCGGCGATTTCAGCGATTTATTTCCAAGTTATTGAGAATAATTTAGATATGGGTTAAATACTTCTTTCAGTTAAATAATTCTTTTATACATTTATACAATATTTTCTATATTATATATTTGTGGTTTTCAGCTATCTTGAATTGTAATGTGA